TTTTTTGAGATGGAGTTTCATTCTTGTCATGCAATGGCAGGATCTCAGCTCCCTGCAACCTCTGCCTCCCGAGTTCAAGCGATTCTCCTGTCTCAGTCTCCCGAGTAGCTAGGATTACAGGTGTGCACCACCACACCCGGCTAAGTTTTGTATATTTATTTATTTATTTTTTTGAGATGAAGTCTCGCTCTTGTCCTCCAGGCTGGAGTGTAGTGGCACGATCTCGACTCACTGCAACATCCACCTTCTGGGTTCAAGCGATTCTCCTGCCTCAGCCTCCCGAGTAGCTGGGATTTCAGGTGCATACTACCAAGCCCAGCTAATTTTTTGTGTTTTAAGTAGAGAGAGGGTTTCACCATGTTGGCCAGGCTGGTCTTGAATTCCTGACCTCAGGTGATCTGCCTACCTTGGCCTCCCAAAGTGCTGGGATTACAGGTGTGAGCCACCATGCCCGGCCTGAACATTTCTTATTGTCATGACTTTGGGATCCTACTGGCATCTAATTAGTGGCAGCTAATGATGCTGCTAAACGTCTTACAGTGCGCACAACAGCCCCCTACAACAAGACACTATCCAGCCCCAAATGTCAACAGTGCCGAGGCTGAGAAACCCTGCTCTAGAAAAAATAAAGCTAGGTACACAGTTTGAGGTTTTATCATGGGACTCCAAGTCCAGGTTTACAATCTCCAACACTGATTAGGGCTAATAAATACTTGGGAATAAATGTAAGCCTTGAAAAATCAGTTAAATGGTAAATCCAGCGCAAATGTTGAAGAAAAATTGACCAGATACAGAAAGGAAGAGGAAGTACTTTTCCTCTTCAGTCAGGCCATCTCTTCAGACATATGTCATCTTTTTTTTTTTTTGAGATGGAATCTCACTCTGTCGCCTAGGCCAGAGTGCAATGGCACGATCTTGGCTCGCTGCAAGCTCCGCCTCCCGGACGTGCCATTCTCCTGCCTCAGCCTCCCGAGTAGCTGGGACTATAGGCGCCCGCTGTCACGTCCAGCTAATTTTTTTTTTTTTTTTGTATTTTTAGTAGAGATGGGCTTTCACCATGTTAGCCAGGATAGTCTCAATCTCCTGACCTCGTGATCTGCCCACTTTGGCCTCCCAAAGTACTGGGATTACAGGAGTGAGCCACCGTGCCTGGCCATATGTCATCTTTAAAAGGATTTTCAGGCTGGGTGTGGTAGCTCACGCCTGTAATCCCAGCACTTTGGGAGGCCGAGGCGGGTGGATCACCTGAGGTCAGGAATTCAAGACCAGCCTGGCCAACATGGTGAAACCCCATCTCTACTAAAAATACAAAAA